TACTTTAATTTTTAATGAAGGTGAATGTCATCTTTTTATTAGCAGTTTTCTTTAAAAAGCTGATTTATTACTTTTGGTACTTTGAAAATATGGGTTATCTTTTCTATTTGATTTTTATACATCCATTATCTATCATGGACATTAACCTCTTGTCATATGTTCAAAATGTTTTACCCTGGTTTCCTCCACCCAAATTTTACTTTTGGTAAATTTTTTTGTTGCAGGGGGTGGTTGTAGAAATTCGTAACTTTTCTGGATTTTGCACTATACTTGTAAAGGTGTTTACCATCCTAAAATTATAAAAAATACCCATAATTTCTTCTGATATCATGTTAAACCTTTAAATGTTAACTCTATCCATCATTTTGTTATAAGACAAGAGACAGAAATACAGTTTATTATACACTTTCCTTAAGATCTGTATTCTTAATAGATTGTTTTTCTTAAGAAGCTGAAGTAAATCAGAAGATTATATAAAGGCCACAAAAATGTATTTTGCTATACTAACAGTCCTACTGAAGACAGAAGACAGTTAAATAAGATATCAGATTAAGAACAGAGTGTTGATATTTTATAATTCTGTGATCACTTCTGGCATTATCTTTTCGTGGATGTAAATAGAAGCTCTAATGGCAGGAGGCTGTATCCAAATAGGAGTTAACCCCCACCCCCAGCCTTTTTAACAGTGATCTACTTTGTGTTGAGGTGTTATCTGTTACTGACCTTGTTGACTAGGTACCTGTGTCCCAGGATGCAGTGAGGGTGTACAAGTCATAGAGTGAAGGGTGCCATCCAAGCTTAGTCTCTACTGAAACCATTACTTCACAATACCAAATGGGTGTTTTACCCTTTGACCTTTAACTTCAAAGAGAAATGGTCTGTGACTGTACTTGGTGAGGTCTGGGAGACGTGATTTGCTCACTCAGGCAGAAGTTGTAAGTGGATATTCTTTTCTTTGAAAACATTTGGTATTGTTTAAAGCAAAAATAAATGGGAACGGGATGGGAAAGGAGAATCACTACACTAGGTAAATCAGTTCTCTGGAGGCCTTTCAGGGTCCCAGGAAAATTTCTAATATGAAGAATAAGAATATGGCTCAGGATGTGGGGTGGGGAGTGATCCAAATAAATGCAGGCTCAGTTGTCAGGGAGAATTAGATTCATTGATATCTTAGGTTTATTAGCGATCGTGGAGAATATCTAGTCTAGTCAAAGGAAGGGACTACAGATGACATGGCTTTCTCAGAAGCACAAAGCTCCAAATGTAATTCACATCTTAATTTGGATATAAAGGCTTGGGAGTTATTGGTCCTTTTGTAATTAGGGCCACAATTTTACCATACTTATATTTTTAATAAAAAATGGCTAGAATTTTAGTAATTTCCTTACAATTTGTGGTAAAGTATTAACATTGTTTTCTTAAGCCAGCCTTTTAATTTGATATTTCATTTTAACCTGTCCTCTTAAAATTTTTTTTTTCAGTCTACATTACCAGCTCCCATAGTCTACTGATATGAACTTTCTTTGAAACTTTTCTTCAAATATTTATTTACCAGGATAATTCTTTGAAAAGTAGGGAAATGATAAAATGATTATTCGCTTAATTATCAAAGGTACAAAAAGAAAAAAAAAACTTTTCTGGACTATTTTAGTTTAGCGAAGAATCTCATAGTTTTATTTTCCCAAAAGGATGAGTTTTACCAAATGTGTACTGTGCTCATTCAAAATAATTGTTTCGAACTGTACTTTCTTTTGTCAGTGACTTGCAACAGATTTATATTAGATTAAGGGCATTATCTTCTCTATCTTTTATGTACATAGTGTCATACCTGAATTAAAAAAAAAATCTATCAGTTATTATCTTTCTTTCTTAGGAAAGGGTTAAAAAGAGCCCCTGAACCAGTTTAAATAATAATTTAAGTTTCTATTTCATGTCTTACAAAACTGCTCTCTGTCTCCTTCTGATTTTATCTTTCTTCTGTTCTTTTTAAAAAGATATGAGACAAAAAGAAACATGGAGATTCCAAAAAAGAACATGTTTTTTTAACGTGTATGTAGTTCTCTTCACTCACAACTAGAATCCACTTTAGTAAAGTCTATTAAACTCAGCCTGCTGCTGATTTCCCTGCTTACTAAATATGAGAAATATTTGCCATTTAAAAAAAAATGCACTAGATTCATGACATTATTTCTGACAAATTAGAAGCAAGTACTATTTGAAATGATGGCATACATCCAGCAATTCTATTAATCATTATTGTAAAGAAATGTGTTGATGGTGGATTCTGGGAATGTCAACCAAAATTTCTGTGATATGTCTTTGAAGAATGTTTTTGTGGCCTTTGGTTTTAATAGCACTTTGGAAAGTGCTATACTATGGAAAGTGTTTGTGGTTTTCACAGAGAAGAAATTCTTCTTATCACGTGGTGTTACCGTATTCTGTTATGTTGTTATTAGCCTTCTGATTGGTCCTTTAGTTACTCTTACAAACATTGGTTTGGTAATAAATGGCCTTGTATACTAAGGCCCTAGATATTTTGGGGTTTTTGTTGTCATTGTGTATGTGCGTGTCGTTTAATAAATTGCTAGTTATTGCTTAAAACTTTACAAAACGACACGTTACTTTTAACTTAGTAGCTTTTCTTTCTTCTGTGAGCAGTCTTGAATCTGTGCTAGTCTCAAGTGACAGATATTGCTATAATTTCTTAGATTCTTAATTGAGATATGTTAATGACATAATAAACAATATCACTATTCCCATAATTGCCAAAACTGACATAATTGTGAGGATAAAGGACATTCTGCTTAAGACAGTTATCATATTAGATGTTCCCTGGCACAGACATTTATATTTCTTAAACTGAATTTGATGAGGTTTAGCATGGGTTAGAGAGATGGAGATATAAAAGATATATTTTTGAAAGCTATCATAAATTAGAAATGGAGCTAAAGTTTCGAAGTCATAGTTTCACTCTATGTGGGAATTATTCTATTGTGTTGTTGAATTAAACTACTTTGAGAAGAAAATTCAAATTGAATTAGATTTCACGGCTCTCAAAATTGAAGAGAAATTTCCTACTGAAAACTATTCTGATTGGGTTTTGCATAACAGTAATAGGCATTCCAAATTTCATCTTTTATGGATGGAACTATAGATGAGAAATGATTGCTTCTGTTTTTGTATTTTTGTTTTAATTACATGCTATGCATTATCTTATATAAGGTAAATCTAAGTAACATCTTTTCGCAAAGAAGAGGTGATTAAAAAAATCAGTGTGCCTCTTCTGCAGCTTATGGTATATGGAGGCCAAAGACTTCCATATACCATGGGTGTTTTAAACTAATGGTTATGATTTCAATACTTGCTTACCACTATATCTTTCCATAGTTTTCCTCAAGATGAGACTTATTTGTAACAAAACTGTTCACAAGTTCTCTTTTACATTTAGTAAGGACAGTAAAGTTATTGGTAATCTTCATCACTGAATTTCTTCCAGCAATGAGGGAATATGTATTTAAAGTCAATAAATTTCATAATACAAATAAAGTTCTCTGTGATTTTCATTTATTGGTAAAATGTTAATTGAATAGTCAAAGTACTAGAACTTTGGGGTCAGTCTTCTTACTTCCAGCAAGTCCATCATGCCAATTTAAAGTTTCTGCTTTCGGTTTCATCTCCATTCCATTCTGTCCTACTTCTGAGAACTCAGATTCTGAAATTCCTTTCTGGGCTTATAACTTTGGTTCTTCTTCCTCCCTTGCTTGCTCTCTCTTTCCCAGTTCCTCACACCCTTGACCTCTTCTCTTCTCCTATTTCTCTATTCAGATACCCATGTCCCTGTGGTCCTTACCCTGTTCAGCCATTGCATCCACCCCTTGACTTTTTTTGTCCCCTTTTCTGCTCTGTTTTCCTTCCCACCTCCCCATGCCATGTTATCTCTTTATTCCATTCCCCCACTGCCACTCCTGGATGTCTAGGCCATTTGGGTCCATTACAATCCATGATCTCAGGTGAAGCTGGCCTCCCAGAGTTTGAGAATCTTCTCTCTTCCCTTGTTGACTCAGTCTCCTTCATCCCCACTGATGTGCTGCCATCCTTCTCATGGAATGTCTTAAGCCCCCTCTATTGCTTCAGAGCACCAGCTTGACTTTTCACTTCCTGCAGATGCTTCTTACATATCCGAGAAAATGGAAATGGTCTGTCATCAACTGCTTCCATCAGTTTCTTATGGTTACATCTCAGTTTTATTTTCTTTTTTTGTGTGTGTCTTTTTCTCAAACTTCTTCTGACACCCCTATCTTTGAGGCTAACCCCATGAGAATATGTCATTTTATAGATTAAACATGACTTATTAAACCAGTCTCTCAAAATGAGCTTAGGCTGTATCTGGTTCTTGTTGTTGTTGTTGTTTTAATGAATTCATTCAAACTATTTTGAAATAAACATCCTTGGACACCTGTCTTACTCACTTGTGAGGGTATAGGCAGTTATAGCTTTGTATGACTCTGACATGCACAGTTTCAGTTACCATAATTTAACACCTGTGCCCCAACAATATGGTTCGAATTTTCAATTGCCAAGATTTATTAACTGTAGTTGTATAAAGTTCTATCTTTGCTGCTAGTTTTTCAGTCCACAAACCATTATGTATGTAAATGCATATTGTAGTGTGGTCAGTGACCAATGTCACTTCTTCCAAAGTCTGTCAGTGATTGGTAATTATATATCTGTTCATCAGTTTAGCACAGAGAGCAAAGCAGATAGTGGTATTACTTCTTTGTC